ACACATCTGTGAGTGTGTCCAACCACCAAAACAAAAGTTGGTGAATTAGTCAGTTAGGACTGCAAGGAGACATACTTCTATTTGTAGAGTGGTTCAAAGCTCTGTGTTACTAATAAAAGCACATTACAATTTGTGTCAACAAATTCAGAAACTAGATTGACTTTAAAATGTTCCTAGAAAATATGATTGTTTCACCAAAATGTTTATTTTTTTTATTATGTAAATGCACTGAGACTATCTGATTGAGACATGTGCAGGGTGTTTTTTATCATGTGCCATGTGCTGTTTTCCTGTGTTGCTTTGTGCACCTATGCAAAAAACACATTGTTGTGCAGGTTCATTGTGCACAGAAATGGTCAGTGATTTTAAATTCTCTGGACAATGCATTCAGTTCAAGAGTCTCATCAAAACCCTCCCATAGGAATCTTTTAAAGTGTTGAAAAAGGGAAACAGTTACGTTTGCAGGTAAAACCAAACAAACCTAAAACTCAACAAGTATACCTAAAGAATCTAATAGTGTCCCCTGTATATAAACTAAACCACCATAGCATATGTAGTTCAGAATTTGGTCTGTAAAAACACCCGATTCAGCCCTCTTCTGGCTTGGTCACTTCATAATGAAATAATTTGCCCAATGTATCAACAGGTGACCTTTTCTCTACTAAATCCATTTTCCTTCTCCTCTAGTCTATACAAACAAATGTGCACACAGCTACCCTTGTTTAGCTTACAAAGTGTGTGATATTCATGCTCCACTGAATATCATTCGTCTGAATTCCCGCCACCTTAGCGCTACAAACCTAAAGCATTTAGCGTAACACTCGTGTGTTTTTACCAGCTCCCTTATTGCTCGAGGTCCAGCAGGACTGAGGAGGCCAAGAACGCTTGTGTGACCCAGTTCTCCATCACTTGGCTTACCCTGTGGAATACTGAACAAGAATGGGAGCTGAAATGACTAAGTTGAAAAAAAGCACAGTTTTAACTTCAGCTCAGGTGGCAGTTTTTGAAAGCAGACCAATCAAAGAGAGAGAAAGTAGAATGAAAAATGGGGTAGACCGTAGATTCATGTTCCTTTTCTCATCCCCCGAAATAGCAGGAATTTGATTGCTGATGGGGCTTTTGGCAAGGGTGCCGCTAAACCATCCAGTCGGCTCTTTAACCGAATGTGAGGCCATCTAACACAATAAGGTGATATAATGGAAAGGCCCAGCACAAAAATAGGCACAGAGGCAGGGACAGTGGGCTGTAATGGTCTCGGGTGCTTGTTCTGCCATGACTTTTGGCCAGTGACACCTCAGAGGATGTAGTCACTGCTTTCTGCTGTTGACACGCATTTTGATTGATCATCTCTGGCTTTGCTGCATAAGGGTAGTGGTGGAAAATGCCATTTCAGCAGCTACTGCAAAATATCCTACGGCTCAGTGCAGTTTATATTTGATTATGGTGCATGTAGGCATATTAGAGGGGCTTTGTTACTGAATTGCTTTGAGAATGAGGAAACTGGTAACTGCAAGCAGAAGTTAAACGCACAGTAACACAAGCGCGATGCGTTCACAATCCTAATGTTTAAACCTTAAGGGCAAACTTTATGAAAGCTTACGATGGGTTAATGCGATCTTGCCACAGACGAAAGGCATAATTGCATGAAGGTGATCACTCAGAGCTGACAATAGCAGAGTAAAAAAAAACATTAAAACCTTTTGCCATCAACGCGATAATGCTTAGTTTTGTTTTTCCTTTTCCATTAAATCAGCCCCCAAATGGCATGATAGAAAACATTGTGGTTGATTGCATTTGATTTGAGGTGTAATGACAAAGATGTAATGACTAGGAATTATTCAGTGTGTTGCATTTGCGGCTACGTTTCATTTAGCTTTTAAGCTGGTAACACACTAACATTCCTGACTCTCTGTGAAAACACAAACATTTGAGGAATAACTTTCACACGTTAGTGCTGAACATGTCGCCTTCGGATTCATGATGCATCTCCGACTACAAGATGCATTTAGAGCCGCTGTACAAATCAAACATGTCGACTACGAGGGCGACACTTCTGACTCGTGCGAAAGGCCAGAAAATCAATCCTTGATTTATGCACTCTGCAATAAAACATTGGACGGCTGTCTGGGAACGTCAACATTTTTATAGATTGGATTTGCTACATTTACTGTAATCGTGCCACAAAATATCAGTCACCATAGGCATGCTGGGATGCTCTTGATATGTGTGCAGAAATAGATAAAGAAACCGATGTATCTGAGCTATATAAACACCCTGTGTTAATAACCCAAAACTGCAGAAAAGACTGTTTGACACAATAAAAGAAGCATCCAAAGAGCATTCAGGTGTTTTATTCCATCCATATGTCAAAACTGTGTGAATAAGGCTTTGAAACAACTTAGAATGACAGTAATCTAAGAATTCAACTGAGCATCAATAAAAATAATAATACAAAAGAAAAATCTTTCTTTCCTTAATATATATTATATGTAACTTCTGCTGTCATTTATTTCACTCTTCTTGTCTAATTTCTTACTCTTTCACAATAAAATACACTCAGTGACATTCCATTCAAAATCAATATGCTGAATGCCACACATTTAGACAGTATGGTTGGTCTGAACTCTTTTTTTTTTTTTTTTTTAAGGTCTGTAACATCATTCCCTTCTAACAACAGTAGCAGTGGCTAGCTGGAGTCTATACGGCCAAACACTTCTTCTGTGTTACACTATCAGCCTTCACAAAGCCATACTTATTTCACCCTATTTAGGCGGAGTACAACTTAAACACCATCATTTGCTTGATGCAGTCACTATTTCTGAAACCGTCAGGCTTTTGTCACTCACTTTTATCTTTTACTCTGTATTTTTTTTCTCTCTCTTTCTCTGTCTTTCCACTCTTGTCTCATTTTCCCAAAAAATAAAAGCATCAATTACCCTCATAGAGTATTTCATGTTCGGATGAAAGCGGCCTCATTCTCTGTGGTGAATAGACAGGGGAGATAGGAGCAGGGCAGTCTTCCCAGTAGATACAATAAACTGCAAAATGTTTGCATCATTTTAATTAAAATGATAACTCTGTCGTGGAACCAGGTTTTTATCAGGGAGAAGAGTGCAGATGCAAAATAATGTGACAACAACAACAACAACAACAAAAAAAAGCGATTATGTGTTTGTGTTATCGCAAGCCATGTTCACTGCACACAGTAATTGTATTTTATGATTTTGTGTCCGCTCCACAGTTACAATTCCCCTTTCCAATGATGGCTTATGTTTCCTAGTAGTGCCTCGAAACACCCCACCAAGAACATTTTGGATTAGAGCAATATTGCCACTGAGACAATTCTGACAAACCGATAGCACATCGGGCATGCACTCGCTCACAGCTACACACTCTCATTCACTCACTCACTCTTTCTCTGCCAGACATGGGTGTCAGCCAAATGGTGCTATTTACTGGAGCAGGACTGGCACTTCTCCAGACCATGGGGGTAGCAGGCTTGGCAACGCAGATCACTGATGGACTCATTGAAGCGGTTTGCCAGCATGGACAGCTTGCTACCGTGACACAGAGAGCAGGGAGCGCAGCCCGAGCCGCCACAATGCTGGCAGCTGTCGGCCTCCTGGAGACAGAAGAAACACATTAGAGGAGAGGAGAGGAGGTAGAAGAGAGGAGCTGTGAGGTGAGGCAAAGGGTAAAAAAAGGGAGGAAGGGGTGTAAATGGGCGAGAAAGACGAGGGACGGAGGGACACAGGTGATCACCGAACGTTGAAAGCTCATTTCCAATTGGTGATTAGAGGTCAGCTACTTTTAAATTACATTTACCTGCTTTCTTTAAGTTTTTCATTTATGCATATTGCAAAACTTTGCACTGCAATTGTTTAAAAACTGATTAACTTGCAAGTTTAGGCTGAGCAGCGAACCACAACACAACTATCTGGTCTAATTGGCCTGCCTGCTGGCAAACAACCTCAATGATAGAGAATTCTTTTTTTTCCAATACTATTTCTAATTAAATGCCTTTGGTAAGTAGCTGTGCTGCAGGATAATGTACAGCCAGCCGGTCATTTTTTACAGCCGGTTGGTCATTCCTGCAGAGTGTACAGTAATGAGCAACTGCCTGTATATTACCAACACAATGAGGAGTGCATAGGAACAGAAGATATGTACTTCTAAAACTTTAACAACCAGAAGGGGTTAATCAGCAGAACATATTTGCCATTGAAAACTTTTCACAAGATATGTGGAGTGACCAGGATGTTGTTGAGGTAAGGTGAAACTAAATGCCATTCACCCCCAACTCTTTATGATTTCCTTTAAGAATCCAGAAGTAAAGTAAAAGGCAGTCTAGCAATGTAAGGCTGCTCCAGAAGAAGAGGCCCCCATAAATAAATAAAAACTGCAGCACGGAGAAAAAGTGTTTCGCAAATCTTATTTAACTTTACTTTTTCAAAAAAGCAAAATAGACAGTTGGCTGAAGTAAGTGAGACGATATTAAGTTTTGAAAAAGAAAAAAAAAAAAAGAAAGAAAACTTTTGTTAATACCACAGGTTACAGTTTGAATCAGATATTAAGAAACCACAATGGAAAATCGACCCACAGCACCCGATGTTCTTAACCTATGAGGAACTGTTTGCAGTTGAAATGCACCGCAAATAACAATGAAAGTGTTCAGCACATACTAAATGTCACTGGGATTTTAAAAAAAAGCAAACAATAACTTATTGCGCTTCAGTATGGTCCATGACTGCTTTCCTATATTGCTGCAATAAAAAAAGCGAAGTAAAAAACATGACAGCGATTTATTTTCCAGCAGAAGGCAGCGACGGAAGTTAAAGCATTCGAGCTCCACTGAAAGCAAAGCTGCATGCAATCCTTGTCTATTAACGGAAGCTGATGTTTGTCGTGCATCTAAACTTGCATTTGTTGCATGGAAAGGGATAAATCTATTGTGATGATCAGCTGCAATGGTGCAAACAGAGTCCAGGTTGAGTTGCAACATTTGCTCCAACTATAAGAAGAAAAGACGATGAAAGATTTTGGAGTCTGGGCAACAAAGGCAAAGATAATAATGAACAGAAAGTAACAAAGGGGAGTGAGATTGCCAAATAACACAAAAAAAAAAGGTGAGAATGAACTTTTTTTTTTTTAAAAGAGGTACAGAAAATGAGAAAATAACGAGAGGGGTGAGAAAAGGATGGTGGGAGATGGGGGAAGAGAACAGTAATCAGCCAAGGAGGTAAGAGGGAGGGAATAATAGTGAGCTGGGTATCCTTGCTGGCTGGTAAGTGGCAGGCAGATGCTGCAAGGGCAGAGTAAAACTGTGGACTCATCAGGATCTGTTCACAGTTGACAGATAACACTAGGACAATAGGTTGGTGGTTGTTGCAGCAGAAAGAAGGTGTGTGTGTGTGTGTGCGGGGGGGGTCCAAGGAAAAAGAATGGGAACACAAATGAGGTGGCAGTTACAAGGAAACACAAGGAAGACTGTGGGATAAAACGACCCCACGGTTCTTCTGTTGAATGCAAAAAAAAAAAACTAAGTGAAGAAAAGATGGCAGAAGACAGGGAAAGTGAGAGTTGGAGGAAGAGGAGAAGGACATGCTGAGACTGAGAATAATAAGAAACAGCAATGGGGTGATAAAAACCACACCACACCTCTGAGAATAATTTGGCCGAGGATCATTACCTTGGTATCTGTGTCGCTGATCTGTTTCTCCTCCTTCTCCTCCCTCTCCTGCGCGTACAGAGCTTTAGCCCTCCTCCTGCTGCTCCCCCTGTCCCTGGCCTTCGAGTATCCCTCCAAGTCCACGGGAGGCACTGTGTGGTGCCGCAACGACTCAGGCTTCTTCTGTGGTGCTCTGATGATGCGCAGATTACTGGTGTAGATGATTATCTTGCCAAAGTCTAACACAGAGGACTGACAGAAAATGAAAACTGAATAATCTTACATCAGTTTATGCAAGCTGTAGTAACAGTGCAAGCATTTTAATGGGCCTTTAATTATGCTATATGGGCTTATTTCAGACATTTTCCAGAAAACAAAAACTGTGCCCCCAATTAGCTGTGAGGTTTTTTTTTTGTGTGGGCGACAGGATGATTTGTAGTTGGAGGAGTCACACCTTTTGTGTAAAGCACAACATGTTTTTGTTTGTTTGTTTTTTTTTAGCTATAGCTGTGTTCTGGCTTCATGAGGCTTCATGGTGGATCTAGCATTTTTATTTTAACACAAACATCCTCCTGAATGATTATCTAGAGTCTATAATGAAGCCCCTGATCTTTAATACTAACAAAATTAATGGCTCATTTGATGTTTCAAAGCATTCATTCAATCATTTCTTTTAACTCACTTTATAAAGGCTGGCTTTGGGTGTCCATCAGAAATGATTGGCAACGCTGCATCTTTTGTGCAGAGCTGCATTGTTGATTGGTACCAATGACTCAGTAATTACTTTGCAAATCACTCACACAATTTTTTTTCACAATAATCTAATAGGTTGCATTATTCAGGCATCCTACTTGTTTCTCATTGATTCTCTCTTGCTCTAACAGAGACATCTTATAGCCAGAGGGTCATTAGGCCTTGTGAGGTGGGTGCCCTCAATGGGACCACTGTGCCATCCCTTCAACAGTGCCCTTAAAAGGAGAAACTAACTCCAGATTGCTGTCTTCCATTGATAAATGTGATAAAAACCGACTTTGGTCACCAGGGCCAAGTGTTTCTTTTGTTTAGAGGATAAAAGAATGAGACTGACATGAAGCCAGCAGGCGATGTAGCTGACCTTCCTCTTAGCCTGCCACACTAATGAAGCCGCTGCCACAGCAGGTTAGTAAAAGTGCCTTTTTCCTGTCAGATGAACAGTTTTGTTGCCGTTGTTGCGCCACTTTAATCGTTGTACAATTTGCGTCGAGCAGCATGCCGTTGACGCTTTAATTATTCAAGATCCGTCTCGATTTCTATTTTAGGTCTGGATTGCTTGTTTTGTTCTGAGGTTCCTCTGAAAAATGATTAAATTACTTTACATCGGCTGATTGTGTGCCAGTTTATTGTGGTGTTTAAGTTTGCTTTTCAGCACACGTAGACGTGAGGTTCTCATGCTCATTAGTGTATATCTAAAGTATCTAACAAGACAAATAAAAAGTGAAAATAATTCCTATTAAAACATATATCCAAACAGACAATACAAAGTGAACATGCTCCAAAAATAGAAAGTTACCATTTAAAGTCAAATCTGAATTTTGTTCAAATTTAAGGATTATTGAGAAAGACACCACAACCATAATATAAATGGCAATTCTTATGACACTAAAAATGTATTCCTCCCACTTTAATTCAATACACAGGAAAAATTACCCCCAAAAAAGAAAAAAATGTAAAAAAAAAAAACAATCCCAGCTTCTGCCCAACACACACAGATATAAGATCACAACATGTGCTCCCACGCAGTTAAAGCCAATGCTATTGAGTTATTGTTTTTTTGTTTGTTTTTTTCCAAACCGTCAATACACAAGGAACTTACAGCTTAACTTATAAGCTTACAACAAGGCCCTGACACCATTCAGTTCTGCCTGTAAGTACTCAACAACTGATTGATGAGAGAAAAAACACTTCTTACTGATCACCCTTCAAACAAAAGGATAGGTCCAGTGGTATCTAGTGCATCAGCTCACAGCATAACATTCATGCTGGATTCCAGTTATTAAAACTTCAGTGATATGCGAAAACACTTTCAGGGGCAGGCGTAGAAGCAAAATCTCACAACACAAGTATGGTGGTGCAGAGCGTGCCATGGCCTGTGGTAGACTAGGAATTTGGAGCAGTACAAGCTCAGGGCACACAAGTGGAGCCGGCACAGGCAGCATTAATCTATCAGTGTCAAAATGAAACTATTGCTACGTTGAATTGAAGGGAGATGTATGTAATAGTTAAGGAACAATTATGTTTGCTTTCGTTCTTTTTTTTTTTCTCCTGGGGTAATTTGCACACAGAAAATGAATGGTCAGTTGTTGGTACATGTTGTTTTCCTCTTATTCTGCCACCATAATCCTGACGCTCTCAACATATCATTGCTTCCAATAAAGTATCACCATGACTCAGTTCTGTTGCCAGTTTGTTGCCTGCAGGATCCCAGTGAAGTAAACTGACATTTTAATCAACACTCATCAAAATCTAACAGCAGCAGAATGACTGTTTTTGCTTTCAGCTTCTTTAAACTGTGCTGACAGATGAATTAAGACGGGTCTTAATGCTTCAGACATTCAGACAGATAAAACTGGCACTGCTAGTGAGAAATCTAATCTACAGTAACTCTCACCTTGATTAAAATAAAATTCAGCAAAGGCAAAACCAGTGAGCTGCATTACTTACCTTGCCGTCTCCCTCTGCTTCGTCAGTCTGGCCAGCAGCAGGCTGGTAGCTTCCCATTCCTCTGTACACATTTATTCTCTGGGCAATGAGCCCTGTTGGAGGATAGACACCTGGATACAGAAGAAAACATGTTGTCAGGATAGAGTGAGAGTTTGTACCAGAAATTTCAGACTCAAGTCCTGATTTCATCTGCAAACAACACAAACTGTGATTCCACAGCATTGATGTGCAGTGATCAATCACTGAATTTATTTAGCCAATTAAAGTCACAAGTCTCTACCTCTGGCAGCCCCGGGCTCTCACGAATGCCAGATTCAGACTTGATAATTAATTCTGTTAAGATAGTTATCATGTCAAATTAGCCATTTATAGTCAGAAATTTTTGCCAGTGACTTGGCCAAGACAGAGACATTGGTCCATGTCCAGTCAAAGCCTTCCATCTGTCACGAGCTGTGTTATGTCATAGGGAAGGTGAAACCGGGACCAATTACCGGAAACAAGAAAGAGAAACTAGAGAATCAGTGGCATCAAAAGCGTCACATATGATGTTGTTGTGTGTTCTGAAAATCCTTTAAAAAAAAAAAGAACACTTTGGTAGTAGGGAATTCATGGCAGTTTGCATCAGATACATTTAAGTGAACTTGTCAAACATCTATCACCACTACATATCGCCATCATTTTATCACCCAGAACAAAATTGTTTATACAACAAAAGAGAGAGATAACAAGTTAATTCATGAGCTTTAGAGGTGCTAATAGGCAGGGGTTTTGTTTGTTTGTTTAATCTTTAGTTGGTTATAGTAGGTTTCGCCTGACTCCATGTTTCTTTTCTTTATGCTAAGCTAAGCTCAAAACTTGGTGTTTCATTTTTAAAATATGGATGTAAGTGTGGGATCAGTTTTCTCATCTAACTTAACACATTTGCCAACATGTCAGACTATCCCATTGATAACATACCGCACCATGCTTTGAGTAAATGCATTTTCTAACTTAAAATCCTATTTTTAAACTCTTCATAAGCACCCTAAAATGGTCCAGTGTTTGAGTGTTTCATCTCTGAAATTGTTCATGTACCAATGTCACAGTTTGATTGACCTCCACTGGCCCGTGCTGCCCTAGCATACCAAAATAATGGCCTGCACTGATTGCATCGAGACTGTAAGAGTGTAGCCTTCAGTTATACACTATTATATTGCTGATTTTTTTTTTTAATGGCTTGAAAGTGCAGTGGATGATTTAATGTGAACACAAATACACACTACACAGAAAAGTCTCAGCCATGCACAGCTATATCATTACTGTGAAAGCGAAATCATGCAGTTAAACATGCTTAGATCATTTCATGCAAAAAGGATGGATTACCATATTCAGATGTAATGTCCTGATCTCGTTGGTCTCCTGGATACAGTATAGCCCACACAAACTAACCTAAGTGCAGTCCTGCATATAAAGTAGGACATAGTATGTTGCACAATGATGAGAACCCACCCTGTTGGTCCCCATGAGCATCCTCAAACCCGCAGAGCTGCTCCATCTCGAGGTGGTTGGGAGGGATTTTGCGGTGGACGAAGCTGTGTGGGTATTTCTCCTCTGGACTTTCCAGCTCTTGACCGTCTTCGTACACGTGCTTCAGCACCCGACCGCTGTAGGAGGACGCCAGCTTGAACCTCACCTGCAGTTTTGAGTGGAAGGTGACTTGTTTTTACTCCACTCCTCTAAAGGTTTCTCATGCTGAAAGGATGCATCAGCAGTTACAGCACAGTGTCTAATTTGCATAGCCTGCTGGCTTAGAGTAGAGGAAGATTTGTGAGCAGAAAAAAAAGTGCTGTTTGATCAGACGCGAGTGGTGCACGCAAACATTTGCAGCGTGTCAACGTGCATGCTGACGTCCTGTCTCGTTCTCTCTTAGTTTGCAGTTTGACAACATCAGAGGACTGTTGTGTGCTAAAATGTACATCATTCAGCCACTGATACTGAAGCAATTGTTTAAAAAATAACTTCAAGAGAAAGCCGGATGCCTAAAATAACCTCAACATGTATTTTACTCAACACGGCACATTTACAAAACTGCTTCAAACCTAGGAAGCTGAAAAAATGTGGTCCTTCAAGTAACTCACCTTTCTGGGCTTGGTGCCTTCATAGCGCTGATTCAGTTTTCTCTGGAGTTCTTCCATGGTGGCTGATTGAGAGGATTCAGAGAGAGCGTCAGTCCGTCCAAGAAGCTCCTTACCTGCGGTGAAATGACATTAGCTGGACACTGTGGCGCCTGCTGTGATAAAAGGATGTTTGGACAGATGGATTAAAGATTGGGTTGATATACAGCCCGATGGAAGCACAGAGTATGGGAGTCCAGCTGAAGAGCTGTGTGGAAGGAGTGGGTGGATGATAAAGATAGAATGATAAAGCTCTTTCTGTGTGTCCTTCCCCCAGAGTTTGACTGTACCTGCTGTTTTAAGGGACCCACCTTTCTAGCTCCCAGTGCTAAATAATTCATAGCTAGATCGTGTGTACAAAAGGGTGGTTGAGTAACCAGAAGCCCCGTCATCAAATAATTATGATGACCAAAATAGAGGCTAGTTTGAGCCAGTGTGCAGCTCTGTGTGTTTGTGTGAGTAAGGGAGAGAAAGACTGAGTGAGGCAGTGTGTGTATTTGTGTGTGTGGGAGTTGTTAGATGTTGTAGAACCGCCTATCATTGGACTGGAGCCGAGTGCATCCATGCTGAAAAGTAAACGTGACATTTGATGTCTGCTACTGTCATACAGAAAATACAAAACATATCCATGAAAATGTCTGTGTAGATTCTCAGTCATCCAGATCATAACAATCTTAACAATGTTAGCAGAAGGCAACCGGACGTCTCTTTTTGGTTCTTGAAGACGCCTCACCTCTCAAGCAAGAGGCTTCTTCAGTTCTGCTTCCTCAGAACTTCTTCAGAACTAAAGAATTCTCTTGGATTAAAGGTGGAACGTCTTCAAGGTATCAGACTGAAATAATACCATGTTGCTATGTGTTGTTTGTGTGCATACAAGTGAAAATGAGTAGTCTTAGTCTGTTTAGAAGTCTAATTTGAAAAGTTCTAGTGGCGTAACACCCAACCACCACCACCACTACCCCCCAAAAGTGAAGTTTTCACACTTTTTCTCCACAAGGCAACACTTCTGGGACCTTGTCTGGAATCCAAGAAGATTCAGAGAGAGAGATCAGACAGAAAGATCAAACAGACTTGTATCACAAATGCAAATCTTTGAGATAACAAAGACAAAACATGAGAAAGTTACTTCAGCTCAGACTTTAAACTGAGGTGAACCTTACCAGACACATCTGTAAGTCAAACTGTCTTGTCGCTATACCCCTATGGTAGCACAGATGCTTTCAACCTCAGCATTTGAAGTAAAAGGCAGTAAGACTGACATTTGCAACATTTCCTTGTACAGCTACCGAAGTACCTGAGAGTCTGCACAGTGGGGGGGTTCAAACCTGCTGGTCGGCTGGAGCCCTTTTATGTGGAGTTGGGCTGGTTCTCCTTGTGTCTGCGTGGATTTTCTCCAGGTGCTCCAACTATTTCCTACAGCGCAAATGCGTACCTGGTAGGTTAATTACTGCTTCTAAATTGGCTGAAGGTGTGAATGTGAGTGGGCATGGTTATTTGTCTCTTTGAGTTAGCCCTGCAATCATTTGGCAAATTTTCCAGGGTGAACCCCGCCTCCCGCCCAGTGTCACCTAGAATAGGCTCCGGCCCCCTGAGAGCCTCTACAGGATGCAGCAGCTACAGGCTAATGGGTGGATGGATGGAAAATTACTTTGTACTCAGAATTCATATAACTAAGAGGAAGTGTTAGAAAGTGGTACCATTATATACATTAAAAGCAGTCATGTTAATGTTTCCTCCTGTACATACCACCTGCAAAAAATGTTCACTTTTCCACCAAGAGATGTGAGACAAAAAAAAATCACATTCCTCTTTCTTCGTACAACTAAATTCCAAAGTTCAGCCAAAGCGAATATGAAGCATCACTAGTTTGACCTAGTGTCCAAATTACAGTCTTTTTAGTTCAAAACTCCTCTTTTTTTATAATAAATCTACACAGTTCAGGAAGAGAACGCCGTCTATGGAAACACAAAGAGGAATTTTGCAGGGGGAAAAACAAACTCATTTGATTTGATAAAGATGAAATATCTAATAGAAGTTCATATGAAATATCTAATGGAAGTTAAACTAAGTAGTCAACAAATTCTTGCTTCTAAAAGTCAATGATGCTGTGAAAGGATAGAAATATTTCAGAACACATTTTAGGTGAATCATCCAGCACTTCAAGACAAAACCATACGACAATTATCTTCCTATTCAAACCTGAATCCTAATAATTGACAAGTTAGACTAACCTTTTCCTGTTAGACATACAATGCAAATTTTTTCGGCTGACATTTCTCTTGTCACAGGAAGAAAAGCAAAGGTACAACTAATAATTAACAATGGTTCTGCTCTGTTCCAGTGTAACAATAAGCCGTGACAATGAGCCAGCGAGCATAATATCACCAACCTGAAAATGAGGCAGCTAAATAGAATCAAGTCATCATTACATTTATTTTCTTATACCTGTGCTTGTTCTACTGTGGGATGTCAAAATAAGTCTTTTTTTGTGGAATAAAAGCACTTATACAGCAAGTAGCATCCATCTATTTTGCTTCATTGGTGCAGAAAGCATTTCTTCTTGTACTGTAAAATAACAAGACATCTGTTAGTTAAGCTCTCTCAGTGAGCTGTACATTCGTGTAATTGATCATTTTGATCCTCAACTTGTATATCACAGTCAAATGACCCATGTCACGGACTATTTCCTGTTGAAAATGGAAGCAATATCTATCCCTTAACACTACATTATGGAATATGGAGTTATTCAATGTCTCAATTTATCACCTTTGAGCACTATTTTTACTCTGCTGCTCCATGAAATGAGCAGGTTAACACTGATAAAGCTTTCCAGGAGAAGCCCAATTTTCAAGAAATGGCCCATAAGCACCAACTGATTGGTGATATTTATTCCAAATAAAGCAATCAGTCTAATCACAGGCCTATTTCTTAATGGTCTCATCATTTAAAAGAATCACTCGCTCTCTAATTTTTACTCTTTGTCATTTCCAGAATTGGCTTATTAAGGCTAATTGGGTATGAGTCATGCTGTCAGCATTCTTTTAAACATCATTCACCAATTCAGAGACTAATTTAAGATTTGAATCATATCTTAGAGCGCCAGCGGAAGTCTGCGAGACTCTCTGCTGAGTCAGTGTCAGCTGTCGTGCTGGCATCATGACTGGAACTCTGTGTGTGGGCGTCAGTGGGTTTGTGCATCTGTTTTATGTCTGTGAGTGACAATGTAAAAATGTATGTCAAGTCCAATCATGAATGCATAGATGTTATTCTGTATTTTTTTTTTCTGTAGCAAAATATGCTTACCATGGCTTGAAAGTGCTGATGGCAGTGGCAACTTTTCTTTTGCATCTTCAAGAGGCCATTTTGTACAATGAACTCTAATCTGACAAATGGATGCCATTAACCCCATGCATGTCGAGATCAATCTTACAATTATCGTTACAGATGACTGTTATTAAGCGGAGTGTGAATGGATGATTTAAAAGAAAGCAATAGACAGAGAGAGAGCATTGCAAGCGGACATAGACCCTCTCTTGTCTCTTCCCAGACCGAGAGTCGGCTTAATCAGATTGCAGAACAAGCAAGTATGGTTACTCAGGCGAGAAATTGTTTTGGGTGCATCGCAGAGAAGGAATCATTTAATGTGCCAGGATTCTCGCTGCTTTTGGTTTAAACGATTGCCACTATAAATATGTCTCTCTGTGTGTCCACATTAACAGTTCATGTATATTCTATTATCCCCATTATCGTGCCTCGGTACAATAAGCGATATGAGTTTCATCGCTCAGGTACGATACATGCTCTGTGCTCGCGGTAGATCCATATTCGGTGATGTGATAGCATGGATCGAAAATGAGAAATAATAGTTTTTGCGTCACTGTACTGGTGATAAAGCAGTGGGACCCAAGACAAGCCTCGTTGAGCCACAAATTTAAACTCGTGGAAGTTGTTCCCCCAGATGGCCTGATGCAACGTCTAACATTTGCACAGGAATACATTACAATTACCTCTGGTGCTGTACCCATGAACCAGGTATGATGAGTGTAAAGTCTAACTCTTTTCATCTTCTACTGTCTTGTCTTGCCCTGCGCACAGATTGCACAGTTGTTTATGCCCCAAACCCTCCCCAGCTCCCACATCCTACCTCACCCCGCATCAATGGGTGTTCGTTATCGTACACGTTTTGTGTTTATAGGAGCATGTGTGTGCTAAGTTTGATTATTCTCCCCCAGGGGTCCAAGTGCACCCTAGGGGGGTGTGGGTATTATATTTGGCAAGTCTCACTGTGAGGGCCTGGGGGCAGCATATGTCCTTGCCATCCATTTTTTGTGTACTCTCCAACTTCCTCTATCTTCTCTGTATCTCTCTGTGTGTAAGTAAAGTGCAAAAAAAAAAAGAAGGTGAAATTCTCACTAGTAGAAGATACATTCTCATTATTTTGCTTGTACTCCTTCTGACGTCCTCCCAAGGGGAATGGTATTGACTGACTTATATGAGCAGCGCCTATTTACAGGCGGAAAAGGAACAAAGTCGGTAAGAAACTCTGACGTCAATCACTCAATAACGGTCATTATCCTGAAGGCAGGTGGTTAGGGAAAGGTGGAATTACCCAGAGTGCCATGTAAGGAGTTTGTAACTATGACATGATGTGATCACTTAGTGTTTACCACACACACAATAAAAAGGACAAGACTTTTGTCATTTTAAATGAAACCACTTCTTTTCCACACCCGTTCTCTCTTTATCTACCCGTTTCAGCACCAACCTCAGATTGTACTTTTTGACTCTCTTGCTCTGCCCTCAGGCGGCTGACAGGCATCGGGGAGGAGGAGTGGGAGAGAGAGAGACAGAGATGGAGGGGAAGACTGAAATTAGAGATGGATGGTACTGTGAGGGGGGGGGACCGAAGAGAGATAAGGGAGGAGTGATGAGCTACAGATGAATATGAAAGACGGTATTTGTCTCAAATCATGTCTGAAGACACTAATGTCACATCCTCTCTGAAGGTTACAGACAAAAAGAAAAGTGAGAAGAGATCTGGTCCCCCGACAATAGGCTGGGGCTGTGTCTTTTACAC